GTCTTGTCGTCCTGACACCAGATTAGCCATTCCCATCACACACATTGATTTAAAGCCTCAGAAACTCTCCTGTTTAAAGGGGATTTAATTTGCTGCTGTTTTTTAAGTTTAATCTCGATGCGCACTAAGTCCCGGCTGCAGCACACATTAGCTGAGAGTCGATGGAAATAATCTTGATAATCCTGAAGTGCTTTGCTGTACAAAGTGTTTAGTTTTGTGAGTCACTCTCGATTCCAGGCGTAAATCTGGTACATTAGCTGGTGTGCATTTGCTCTACAACTTTCACAGTTTCTCTGTGATTTAATTAACGTTTTAATTACTGGTACAGGAGAATGTTTCTGCACCGGACTGACATCCATTGAGGCCTGTTTATAAAGCGGCTGTATACACACAGGGTGGTCTGGTTATTTTCGGTATGTGTGTGTGGAAGTGTGTCAGGTTTTCCTTCTGTCGGTTGCAGTGTCAGTAAACCTAACCAAGCAAAGTGGAAAAGCCGTACTAACTCTATTAACGTCTGTGTTGAGTTGACCCCAGCATATAGCATCGTCTCCCCTCTCAGCTCTGTAAAGCATTCAAACATAACATTGTGCTGTGAGTCCCAGTAAGTCTGAATCATATCTACCTTTAGCCGTGGTTCATCATTCTTCTTTCCCATCATCTCGTCTCTCAAGGCCAGAAGTGGTGCAGACCAACTGTCCAGCTCGGGCTCTCGGAGCTGCCCAAAGAAAACCATTCTGCTCCCTTCTTCCTCCTCCACTTCCTCGCTCTCTCTTCACTCCGAGGTGACGCACAGTCTGCTGTCTGTCTGTTTGTGTCCGTCTGTCTCTAGCCACAGATCCATGACAGACCCATTTAGCGTCCCCCTTTACTTCCTCACCCCCCACCAGCACCACCAGCTCTCGTCCCCCTAATTATGTGTGCTGTACCTCAGATTTGGCCTCTGTAGCGTAAATGAGGACAAAATGCTGTTATTCCCCAAGTGAGCGTCGTCAGTCTTGTTTACTTCCCAGCGAGTGGGTGTAGTGTATGTCATTATCACAGGAGCAGCTTGTTTTCGTGCTGACGGCGACGTTGTCGGGGTGTGATGGCTCTGCGACTGAGACACCGACTTGAGGGACCCTCGGGTGGTTTTAGCTTATCGTCAGGCGCTGTCAGAGGTTCTGCAAACAAGCTTTTCCCCAAACGAGGAGCCAACAAGCTCAGAGTGTTCATGCAGTGTGTGTTTCTGCTTGTTTCTGCCTTCAAGCGCGTACGTAAAAGTCCGGACGAAGAGGAACTTGAACACTACGAGAGGCCGCAGACACACGGGGTAGAGTACATTGAAATATGGAGCAGAACGTGCATTTCCCTCAATATCATGTTTAAAGCTTTAGCCATAAACATACCAGCAAGTCTCAACAGAGCTCCCCTTGGCAGGCGTGGATGCCGCTGCACCTCGCTGACCCGGGACCCATTCACATTCCTGGTATTCAGGAGCGGGCCGAGCGCCTGATCTCCAGGTTTAAGGGCAAAGCGGACAAGCCGCCCAAGGTGAACGCCCATGCATGGACTTGTTGTGAGAACTGGGCTTGCTGTTGTGCCATTTATCGGGCCTATTGGTGTATGAGTCTAACCCCCTCCTCTCAACCATTCCTCTCCCTCCTGAAGCCGAAGAAAAAGCCGTCCCGTTTCTTTTTAGAGCAGTGGCACTTGTCCCGAGACCTGGCTGTCAGTCCCGGTTCACCGCCGTCCCGTCACCACTCAGAGGTTGGGTTTCTGGTGCTGTGGGCTGAGACTCACCCTGTTATCACGCTGAAGAATAACCTCCTCTGGAAGTTTTTGCTACTAAAAACACATTATTCAAAGTTTTTTTTCCATTTTATTTATCTGAAGTGCAGCCTGTTGTTTTGCTGCGTGTCCGTGCCCGGCGCACGCTTTACTAACTGCAGGGCATCGCTTTCAGCAGTTTACTTACTCGAGCTTGCATTGCTGCGTAAATTAAAGGCTGTCAGCTGCGACTTTTGAAAACAATGGCTGACTGTACCGCAATGACAAGCTCTTTGAAAGGGAGATTGTTTTTGGAAGCTGCTAAAAATGCAGAGTATAATCTCCGCTTTCCTCCCCGTACGTCCCTTTGGTGATTGAATCGTCTGTTTCTCTGTAGGAATCGGCGAGGCCTCTGGAATCCGAAGGCCAGACGCCCATATACGTGCTTAGCATTCAGGAGAGGGCCGAGCAGCTCGCCTCTCAGTTTGAGGGCAAGCCGGCCGGACCGCAGGTGAACCTTCCCCGTTAACACAGACAGATCGTTATCAGTCTAAATGTTCGTACACGTTGATAAAGAAGCTGAATGAATCTGTGCATCCACAGAGTCAAAGAGGAAAATCTCTGCTGGTAGATGATTCAGTTGATGATTCACCTTTTTCTAACGACTGTCTTCTCCCCTTCTTCCGTGGAGCCGAAGAAAAAGCCGTCCCGTTTTTTTATGGATCAGTGGCACCAGGCCCGAGCCCACAGCCCCCCCGACTCTCCCCCTTCCACCTCTGACACCTTCAGACAGGTAGTGACTCGGCAGGAATGAGTGTGGCGATGCTGACACCTGCACTCGGCCCTTTGGGAAGCTGCATCGCTTCACCGAGTTGCTTAACTCACCTGAAGCTTCCTTTGAAAGCGGCTGCATGCTGAGAACTGGCCTGGTGTCTGTGGTTGCTGTGATTAATGTTTGGTGAGCGTCTCGGTTTGAGCAGATATCAGAGTATTGTCAGCTGGAGCGTGTTCTAATTCCACCAATTGTTTTTGCTGTGGTAGTGTTTTGGATTGGACGAGCAGCAGAATCATCATCTGGTGTAATTCTGTCTCCTGCTGTGGCCAAGTTAACATTCACTAACGCAGCGCTCAGTGCATCCCGTCCACAGTAACAGTGTTCACGGCTCGTACTACTGTTGACCTCAATTCAAGGATAAAATGGCTGTTTGTTTTTTTGGAGGTTTAATAGATTGAAATCTAATCCGGGTGTAGATTATTTCAGGATTTAAGCTGAAGATGGTTTCATACGCCGGCTGCGGGTGCTAGCAGACCAGCTGGAACGCAGCGTTTTGCTTTACATATTTATCGTTTAATAAGTAATCCAGAGTGGGAATGAAAAATGCATGACTGCTCTACACAAGTGTGGCAGCACGTGTTGGAGTTTCTGTTACAGCAGCACAGGTTGTCGACACACTGGGATGCTAATCTCTTCTTCTGATGCCCCAAATCCAATAATGCTCTGTGTTGGCAAATAAATGCACCGACTGTGGAAGTTACTACATAATTTGTGTGACTGAAGGCAGAAGTTATTTTATCAGCTTCGGGGCTGTTTTTATGAGCCATGTTATGAGCACATCTGAAACGCATGGAGACGCTGTTTTGTCGTGTTTAAACCCCGATCAGACGTTTACCTGCTGTGTTTAAGCACCTGTTGCCCTTCTTACCCCTCTCTCTTCTGTTTTTTCATGTTCTTTCTTTTGTCTAATGTTTGTCCACCTGTCTTTATTTTCTTTCCTTTCGTCCTAATGCTGTTGGTAGCGCTATGTGAGGATGTACACGGGGGGAGTTAGCTCATTGGCTGAGCAGATAGCCAATCAGCTTCAGTCTCAGGAAGATCCCAAGCCCCCACATGTACCTGAAAAGAGGGATTTGGTAAGAGCACTGTTTGTAGGTAGAAGGCACGTGGCTGCACAAATCACAGCATCACTTGCCGAACTTTGTGTGTGTGAAGTGATTTTCCCGTCACAGCTGAATCCCTTTAGCTGCAGAGTGTGTGTTTGCTAAACAACTACCTGCAGGTTGAACTGCTGCTGTGTTTGTAGATCATCATCAGATCCCCTCACTCCTCCTGATTAACAGCCTTCTGAGTTTCTCTGTTCTGTTACTGTTATGAGGTTCTGAATGACCTCAGTACCCGTCGTACGTCTGTAGCGCCCGGTGTCGGCCTGTGGCTTGAACATGATCGATGTATTAAGTCTCTCCTCCTCTCTCCTCTCCCAAATGTTTCCTTTATTTCATCTGAAGACTGATTGGATTCCGTTTCCTCCCGCAGGGCTCGCTCAGGAAAGAGTTCCCCGTCAACATCGGAGGCAGCGACGTTTGCTTCTTCTGTCGAAAGCGCGTCTACGTGATGGAGAGGCTGAGCGCGGAGGGGAAGTTCTTCCACCGCAGCTGCTTCAAGTGCGACTACTGCGGCACGACGCTACGCCTGTCCTCGTACGCCTTCGACGTGGAGGATGGTGAGGCTGACATTCATCAAGTCCAGTTTATTGTCATGTTGCTGTACATAAACAGCTGCACCGTAGAGCAGAGAACGTACAACTGAGTGACTCTGAGGAAACATTAAGATTTGAAGTTTTTCAGTGGAGCTACACACAGATGAGGAGTTCAAGGACCGTCAGAAAGTTGAAAATCCACTTTTTGTGCTTACAATGTCTGATAAATTATTTAGTTTTGGTGATTTAAAAAGAAAAAGCTCTGCCTTTCAAACCTGCGGGTGGGTTTCGGTTCGTAGGACTGGAATGCAAACAACAAAGATGAGTCTTCATTCTGAAGTCCTGAGTTATGCACATACAGAACAAATCATGCATTTTTGAACCATCATCCATAGATTTAAAATATGTACGACTCTGGTGCCCTCCGGTGGCCACTCGCTCCACCACAGCCTCCCCTCCACCTCCCTACCCGTCCTGAAGAACCCAGAACAGATGATTTGGATCAGTTCATCCGTTTTAGCAGCTTTGATGATCGGTCGGGTTTCATGTATGCATGTTTTGTGCATTTCCATTTGAAGCTGTAACCAGCAGACAGTCGGTTTGAGTTCAGCTGTGAGGCGTCGCAGCGACCTCGGGCCGAGTGCAGTCTTATGATTCCATATTTGTTCTCCTCACTGGGAGGTGTCTATTGTGCTCAAGGACAGACGGCAGATTGTTCAATGAGACAGAGTAGGTGTTGCTCAGCCTTGGGACTGAAACCCACTGATGGTCTGAAATGAGACAGAGAGGAATTTATTTTAGTCTTCTTCTGCAGAACAGATAGGATCTGTGGACTCGGAGGTGAAATGTGCAGAATTTGCACGGCGCTGTAAATGTTTATCGACTGTATTTGTTTATGCGCTCTGTGTCTCTTCTGTCCTGCAGGGAAGTTTTACTGCAAGCCCCACTACTGTTACCGTCTGTCCGGCTATGCTCAGAGGAAGAGGCCGGCTCCCTCCCCTGCTCCCATCACAGCTAAGGTACCTGCTTTTATTTGCTTAATGAAATCCTGGACTAAATTAGAATTGGACGGCAAATAAAGAAGAAATCAATTGTTTGACCTTCAGAACCGGCGTAGATGTGGGAAGCAGAGAGCATATTTACTTCAGGGATCTTTTTTTAATCTTGTCACCATTTGTTCTTGTGCTCTGACCTTCTATGAGCACTCGTGTCTTCCCACACTTCGCTGGCAGTCCACATCGTTTCTATCTTTACCTCCGCAGGAGAACCAGATGCCCCAAACTCCCACGACGACCGTAGATGCCCCCGGACGGGCGATGGCGGCGGCAGCCCCCTCGGCCGAGCTCCAACCCTCAGGTACCCGATTTTCCTCTCTAGCTGTGGCGGCTGCGCCCAGCCGTCTGGCCAAGGGCGTGGGAGTCCCGCTGCGTACCCTCCGCCGCACGCTCTCCTGGACCTGCCACCAGGTGGCGCACAACCCCCTAGATTCTCCCTTCCTGTGTACCTACTGCATCTACCTCTTCTGCTGTTTCACCATCAATGTGCTGCTCAACCTCCTCTAGCATGACTCTCGTGTCCCTTCCTCCTCCTCCTTCCTTACTTCCTCCTGCTCTTAGCTCATGTCAGAGGACTGTATAGATCCAGAGTGTACCGACTCACTGAGCCTGCAGTGTTCATGTAAATCCTGTAATTCTTTGTCTCAGTGATTGATTGATTTCCTGAAGATGCAGCATTCGTTCTGTTTCTGTTTTTACGACTTGTGACTGGCGGAGGGAGCTAAAGCGTCCTCCTGCAGCAGGATTTTAAAGAGTGAATGCTGCATCTTAAATCTATTTTTTTTCTTTCTTTTTTCTTGGCTTGGACATTAAAGAGAGCTGTGCAGAAGGTCTGGTCAGCTCTCCAGGCAGCACTTTTAACCCTTTTTGTAAAACTCTCCTCTCCAGCGTTCTATTCTGGTTTTTGATGTGAAATGTGGCCGTAATGTGGCAGCTTCCTTAAAACTCAACAGCAATAGATTCATAGGAGTTCATATATCTGCCTGCCTGACTCCTTTTGTTTTTTAATGAAGAGCCAAGCTTTCCTCCTTTGTGATTGTAACCTCTAGTGGCCTGTGACTGCTCTCTCTTAGCTCTACTTCCTCCTGTGTGATGTGTTTCGTTTTATTGCCTGCTCTGTGATGTGTTCTGACTGAAACTCACCGTACTGTGATCAAGTGCCTGTATCAGTGCTTTTTGTGAGCTTTACCTTTCCCCCTCCTATCAGAGCATCTTAAAACTGAGAGCTCTCCTAGTGCTTGAACTAGTGCCTGTGATTGGTTCTCTTGTGATTTTATTTTTTTACTTCCCGCTCCTCTGTCGGACCCTCTCGACTTCCTCCCGCATCCCTCGACCCCTCACCCTCCTCAACGGACCGCTGCTAAGAACCGCCTGCGTGTGCCAGACGTAGAGCATCCTTCCTAGAATAACCGCTTTGCATATTAGTTTATTAAAACCACGGATAGGACTGGTAAGCTTTGTAGAAAACGAATAATTGGAGTTTAAGTAAGTTTAGGCCTGCTGCATCGTGTGGCAAGAGTAGTACAAGAAACGATTAATTATGAAATACTGCAGTGATATTACTGAAATATGTGACTTTAATTATGTTATAATGTCGATTTAAAGTTCATCTCTAGATAATAATAATACACGTGTTTAAGTGTTGAAGAACAACTTTAATGATTTGATTAAACCAGGTTAAAGAAGTTAAAGCTTTTCGTCATCGGCTGATGTCTGCATTTAGGTTTTAATCATGTTTTTTTCATATAACGAATAATTCTGATTATTTAAAACACTTTGAAAGATAAATATATTTACCAGTGCAGATTGCATCTGTTGGGTCGCGCTAGCCCTTTAATTTCACCATATTTCAATGGAAACCGTAGAATATAAATCTTATTAAGCATGATGCCTTTTTTTTTGTTATGAGAGACAGAGGAACAGTTTTAGCTGCTCGTCCACACACAGAAACACACGATGCAGCATCAAATATCACACGTTCGTTTTTAGGAGGGGTCACAGCTTAAAGCGTCGCCAGTCGTTTTGTCCTAATTGGAGTTTATCTGCGCTTAAAGTGAGCGAGGAGATGACAGGAGTAATATAATCCTGTAATCCGTCATCCCGCTCGTATTAACCGATTTACAAGTGAAAACAGTTTTAAGGTTTGCTTCTCAGGATGGGAATAAGGCAAGGCACCAACCTTGTACATCATTTAATTATGGCATCATGGAACTATTTTAGAGTGTTAAAGCTCCTTGTGTTTGTTGATACTATTTGCTGTAGGAATATAATCTAATGCAATAAATTCGGTGATAGATCTTAAATCGGTGTGTCCTTGTCACTTTTTCCTTACGTTATGATTTTGCTAGAATGAGGAGAAGCCGTCGGACTGCAGGTGTGTGTGGACACGCACCAGTTCTCATTGGTGGATGTGTGACGGGTTTGATGCTGAAACTAAGATCAGTATCTGTATTCTGAGCGCTGTTCACAAGCAGTACGGGTTTATTCCTGTTTATTTCCTCTGAGACACCGTTAGAGGATGAAGCGTGTCCTCCTCACTCGCTCCTGCATGGCTCCTGCTACAGAGGGGATGTTTTTCTCTGCTCCTCTTCCCTTTGCTGTTGCACCCTGTTGATTCTCGGTTGTGCTCTCTTTCCTCTACGTTCTCTCCTCCGCCGCCCCGACGATCGTCACATCACCCGGTGGCGTCTCCGCGACGTGCTCCGCCGCTCAGTACCGGAGGTCAACGGCCTGCAGGAGCCGAGCCTGGCCAAACGCCTGCGGGGGACGCCGGAGCGCATCGAGCTGGAGAACTACCGCCTGTCCCTGCAGAGGGAGGAGGAGCTGGAGGAGGTGCCCGAGGAGACGCTGGCGGAGCACAACCTGAGCAGCGTGCTGGACAAGGTCACAGATGCTGACCTGGGTTCCAGGTAGGATAAACCATCCATCCATCATCTCTAAACCTTAATTCTCACTAGGGTCATGGGGGGCGGAGTCTATCCCAGCTGACTCAGGGTGAAGGCAGGTTCACCTGGACAGGTAACCAGTCTATCACAGGGCTACACTTAGAGACAGACAACCAAGCACACTCACATTCACACCTACGGACAATTTACAATCACCAATTAACCTCAGCATGTTTCTGGACTGTGGGAGGAAGCCGGAGAACCCGGAGAGAACCCACGCTGCACGGGGAGAACATGGAGACTCCACGCAGGAAGATCCCGGGTGTCCTCACCGGGACACGAACTGGCGACCTCCTAGCTGTGAGGCCACGGTGCTAACCACCGATTAGCCCAGGATTATACCAGCGTTTATTAATTTCTCGCTTCTGTCATGACCTGCTGAGTGTCTTTAGGCTAATCAGGCAAAAGAAGCAAATTAAACGATGTTCCTTGAGCTTCTGGGAACATGTCAGGACCCCACGTTTGTATTTTTTAACACTGAACAGACTCAACAAGTCAGCTAAGAAAAAAAATACAAGTTTGTAAATTACGACAGAAAATGGGAAGTTTGAATCTCCTTCTCTTTCTCCCAACAGTAGCTCAGAGTCCGACATGGAGGAGGAGGACGAGCAGGAGGATCAGGAGGAGGTGGAGGTGGAGGAGCACCTTCCCAGCCCCTCGGACCTCGGCGGCGTCCCCTGGAAGGAGGCGGTGGAGCTCCACGCCAAGCTCCGGGGCGAGGAGGGCGAGGAGGGCGAGGCTCAGGCTGACGCCGTCAGCAGAGACGGGGAGTTAGACGAGGAAGAGGAGGAGGACGAGGAGGAGGAAGAGGAGGATGAGGATGAAGAGGAGGAGTCTAGCGATGGTAAATCTGTTCTGCTGCTTGTACATCTTGGGCCCTGTGTTTCCTGTTTGGTTTTAATGTGTGTTTACACCCTGGCCAGACTCTGTTTTGTCCGATTCAGATCTTCGTGTATTGTTTGTAAGAATCATGTGTCTCAGACATTGTTCTCCTCATCCATGTGTCTTTCCTCCTTTCCTCCCCTCTCCCCTCCGTGTCCACTGTGTCTACATACACTGCACATGTATGTGTGTGTCTGTATGTGTTTTCCGTTGGGCCTTTGTCTCCCCCTGCTGTCAGAGGGCGATTACTGCCCCTGGGACAGAGAGCTCCAGTCAGGCCTCTGGCTGGACAAGTTCCTCACAGACGAAGAGGATGTTGGTACTTTTAAAGGTAGCAGCAGAAGTGCCTGCAGATGTGTTGAATGTGATTTAATCCGGTTTGATTTTCCGTTTTTAAGGATTTCTACGATAAGAGTGTGGGTTTGGCTTTGTTTTACTTTTGGTTTGTTGGTTTCCGTTGAGTTTGGTGTGTTTCTTCTCGTCCTGTTTAACCTGCTGTTTCAAACCCCACAAGTATTCGGCTTTGAACTACTAATCTGATCAATCCCAGAGACTTTTGTGTTTTCCCTCCAGGCGCTGCAGCTATGGTTTGATATTGAGTGGCAGAATTATTACATTCAAGAACTGGATGTTATTTCTTTCTTTAACTTTAGATCTTTGAAGCTCACGGTTATGGTTTGACGTTTTATTTTTGTTGCAGTGTGCTGCATGCTGCCTCCCTTTACTCACCTCTGATGAGTTTTCGTTACCGCTGTATAACCGTCTCTCTCTTTCATTCTTTTTTCTTCTTGTCCTGTCGTTTCTTCTCCCTCCCTTTCTTACACAATCTCTCTTTTTCTGCCTTTCCTTTCTTGGCTCACACAACTTCACCCCAAAAAAATCTCAACAAACACGACAACGTACATTTAGCCAGGAACCTGCAGATCCAACAAGTCCTGCAGCCTGTGGATCCACACGCCATTCCAGGTTTGGTGAGACCTCACCTGGACTCTGGGGGAGATAAGGATGGCCAGCTGGCCTCGGCCTCCCAACTCTCCCATCCCTCTGAGCTCACGCTGCCCTCCTCCACAGGTAACCCACCCAGAGGTGCTGTACGTCTGGGGAAAGGTGGTGTTGGTCCTCGCCGTGTTGAGGATCAGGGTGTCTGATTTTCACCAGTGTGGCTGCTGCTGCTGCTGTTGTGTGTCTGGAGGATCCATCTCCCCCCCGACTAACCCACCTGTTGTGTTTAATTATCTCCTGATTTTGTACATTTTGTAACATGGCTTGTTTTGTTTTTTGTTTTGTTTGTTCTCGGAATGTCTAATTTTGTGTTCAGCCTTTTAATTTGTCATTCACAGTCGCTGTCGTTCCTCTGGGGGTGAACGTAATGTTCGTCAGCCGCATCCCAGTTATAACCCCTCCCGTCAGTTTTCCTTTGATTTCGTTCTGCTTTGTTCTCTTGTGTTCTTTCCCATGTGTCTAATTGCTTTTACTGTTATTTTCCCGCCATCTATCCCCCCGTCGTTCTGTATCTTCTGGTTTGAACGTAGCCGCTGCCCACACATCCGCCCGACACGAGGCAGTGAGAGTCTGGTTGGAGTCCCTGTCTGGAGGTAGCACAGACTTTAAAGGGATCCCGACATCCCGTCTTAGACTCGTATTCTGTCCTGTCTATGGGCTGGCACTCTTCTGGAGCATGCAGCAGCAACACGTGCAGAGAAAACTCACAAGCATGCAGGCTGTCAGGCTGTCTGCTCTCCTGGGATCAGATCAGCACCTTTACGCCACCTTTCACACATAAAACCTCTCATTCTGCCCGTCCAGCTCATGTTGGACGATACGTCTTCTCTTTAATCACACTGTGTGATGTGCTGTAGTATAATATATCCAGAGAATGAGCTGAAGGGCTGAAAACACTTAATGTACACTTAGTGTTTCTTGCCCTGATGTGTGAGGTGTCTCACTTGGATTCTGCTGGTAGTGTTACTGTATTTGTGGACTAACCTCTTAATGGCACTTGTATTTGCACAATGTTCAGTGAATGAGGTACTTTATTAACCGTTTAAAAGCCTGAATGAGTGGAACGAGAGTCCTACAGAGGTGTTAGAACTCATGCACAGGCCTTGAGTTCTGGATGAGAAGCTCAGTGAAGATGTTCAGTGAAGATAAGACACCAGCGTTAGACGTTCAGGATGTGCTCCCACATGAACAATGGAGTGTTTCGTGCATTTAGCCAAAGAAAAAGATGATTATTAACATTTTGTTATTATTTGAAAATTGCATGAATTAACCGTTTGGGTCACGGCCCCTGTTTCCGTTTTGTTTGAGAAAAGCAGTTCTTCCAAACACTCTTGTGTTGCTGGCTGTGTTTTAACCGACGCATTAACATTTTGGTTGTGCTTTTGCTTGGTTCAAATGTTACCCATTTGCTAATTTAAAAATGGAAGGCTGCATGTGTTTTCATTTATTTTTTGTGCTAATGCTGCTCCGTGGACGTCCTCTGTTCACACTAATGACAGACTCACACTGTAGGATTTCATTTGTATGCACAACAAATTTTTCTTTGGCAGAACACTTTCCTAATCCTGTCTGCAGAAAAAAGAGGGTTTTGGTTTTGAAGTCTGTTCGTACTTTTTCATCTTTTAATTTCTGCACTTCACTCTTGAAAATTGGTCTTGATAGCTTTTTAGCCTGCAGCCAGAATTTCTGAGAAAAGCTCTTTCAAGGTTAGCTTGTTAGGGAGCTGAGAAAGTTCTTACGCTGCTGTTGACTGAAGCCAGCGTGTGATGGCTGGACCAGTAATATCTCACCGTGTTGTTTCATGGCAGAGCCGTGTGAAGACGAAGAGCTGGAAGCAGAAGCAGACAGTCCAGATGTGGAGCCGGGTACGGAGATGGATCAGGGTGAGCAGCCACAATAATACAAATAATGATGAATAATTTAAATGCTTAAAGTTACCGAGCGGTGGACCAGGGAGGTGTTTCATGCTGTTGTGTTTAAATTCCAGATGACATCCCCTCAGACGCCGAAGCTGAGGCACGCTTGCACCCGTCAGAGAACCACGAAGCTCCACACGAGGAAGACAAGAAATCAGACAGTCTGGGAATGGCCTCCAGTGTTGGTACGTGTCACAAACCTTCCCTCTAAATTGATAACTCGCATATATTTTACAAAAATAACCAGCGGTAGCATTTTTGTTATCTGTGAACTCAGAACCATCCAGCATCAGCCCCGTGCAGAAGGAAGACATTGTTCTTTCTCCGCTCCAACCCTCCCCGGAGCCTGAAAAACAGGTGAGATAACTCCACTTTCATCGAGCTGAAAGCATGTGATGGCTTTTGGCTAAACCCTGAACTTCTCTGTGTCTTTCCAGATAACTCCACTGAAGTCTCCCGGCACCCGCTTCTTCACAGATCCGTTTATACCCGAGGAGACGAAGCCCGAGAAGACGGCTCCATCTCCTGTCGCCAGGAGCCCACTTTCCCCATTACCTGCATCTGTCCAGAGTCCTGCTTCTGTTCCTTCTCCTACTCTTGCTGCTTCTCCCGTCAGCGTCGCTGCCTCACCCTCACCTCATCCTGCCTCACCTCATCCTGCCTCACCTCTTCCAGCCTCACCTCTTCCAGCCTCACCCGTCAAGTCACCCGTTGCCTCTCCGCTCCAGCCAGCCAACGAGTCACCTGCCAGATCTCCAGTCAAGTCACCGGTTAGCTCACCAATCCGCTCCCAGCCCACCTCCCTGCCGGAGACACGTGCACCGAGATCTCCGGTCTTCCCCCACCGCTCCATCTGCCCTCTGACAGGAAACCCCCTCTCCCCGATCTGCGCCCAGCCTCTGCCCTGCCACGAACCCTCGTCGCCTCTCACCTCCGATTCTCCCGTCAGAACTCAGCCCGTCCCCGCGGTCACTTCCACGCCCATGACCAAAACGGACAAAACCACGCCCGAGTCTTCAAGATCTGAAGATTCCTCGACAGAGGAAACGCCGTCTAAGAAGACAGACATCATCGAGGAGTTCTGGCTGAAGAGCGCTGAGATCAGAAAGAGCCTGGGCCTCTCTCCTCTGGACCGCAGCAGTAAACTCTTAGAGAAGAGCGTCGTTAAAACTCCGCCGCAGGACTCGGCACCTGCCAAGACGCAGTCGGCGCCCGACGTGTCCGAGGAACCGAAGCCTGCGTTCGCCGGCCGAGCTGTCATTCGCAGAATCAACATCACTCTGGAGGGTCAGGTTATCACTCCTCTGGTTCCCGTGGAGGCCAAGAGTGACGGCTCCGATAAGAGGGACGTCAGCAGCAGCTCGGGCTTGGGCTTGAATGGAAGCCTGGCCACCAGCCAGACAGTCAACAGTGACAGCTACAACACGTCTGACTCCACCATGCTCACCCCGCCCTCCAGCCCGCCGCCGCCTGTGCCTGCTAATCAGTCTCCGGCCGTGCTCCGGCAGCAGAGACACCAGGTGTCCTGGAGCAACGGGACGGACAAACCTCCACCTGAGCGTGCCAAAGAGCCGGCAAAAACCAAAACTCCCGTTCCCACGCCCAGGACCCAGCTGAGCCCCGTGTCTGCGCCCAAACCTGCACCCAGGAAGGTCTCCTCTCCTCAGGCCACGCCGGAAACTACTCCGGTGGTCGTCATGAGAGAAAAGAAGAAGCCTCGGCCGCAGGAGGTGAGGAAGTCGTTTGTGGAGACGGTGGAGGAGATCCCGTTTGCCGACGACGTGGAGGAGGCGTATGACGAGCGGACGCCAGAAACGAGCATGAACAAGTATTACACGCCGCCGACCAGCAAGCCCAGCAAGGAGAGACCTCCCCTGCATCTGGCGCTAGCGATGGAAAACGGTAAACCCAATATCCCAGCCAACCCAGCCGCTAAGACCCAGAGGGCAACTCAATTCTCTCCAGAGGCTAAGGAGATTGCTGAGGAGAGAATAAGGGCCAGAGAGAAGTCTGTGAAGAGCCAGGCTCTGAAAGACGCCATGGCCAAGCAGCTGCACAAAATGAAAGAGTCAGACGTAGACAAGGGTGCCTCACCTAAAGTGGCCTGGAGCGTGACCCCAGACTCAGCCGCAAAAAGCAAGAAGTCCGCCGGATCTCCAAAGACGTCCGCCGTGAAGGCTTTGGAGTCAAAGAAGGGAGAGACTCTGCCCGAGAGATTCTTCAGCAGCAACAAGAGCCTGGACAGCTCGGTGGCCTCGTCGGACGGCTCCACCGTGAGTAAGAGCAAGAAACGGAGCTCCCTCTTCTCGCCACGCAAGAACAAGAAGGAGAAGAAGGCCAAGAACGACAGCAGCAGGGTCTCAGGCACTGACGAGACGCCGCCCAAGCACAAGTCTCTGTGGAAGGCTGTGTTCTCAGGGTACAAGAAGGACAAGAAGAAGAAGGACGATAAGTCGTGTCCGAGCACGCCGTCGTCCAGCTCCACCACTCAGGACTCCGCCAAGAAGAAAACGTCGCCTGTCGGGAGATCTTCAGGTTTGTTCCAGAGGTTGACGAATGTTTCTGAATGTCGTGATCGAGGCTCCAGTTTTCAGGAAGAATAAGAATTAATCTGTTTGCTTATTTTATGTAGCAGACTTGAAATCACGCCGAAACCTGAGCTTCTCGGAGGACTCGGACCTGTCCTGCGATGACGTTCTGGAGAGATCCTCCCAGAAGTCGAAGGCAGATGTGAGTAACAGCGAGCAGAACTACGTCCTCGTCATCTGGTGTTCATGCATGTGTCGCCTCGCAAAGCCCGCCTGAGGAGACCGAGCAGAGCGCCCTGATCAGGGGAGACCAGCTCCTCAAAACCTGATCACTTCAAAGGAAATTAAGTAAAATCGGGGAAGGCTCTCTGATCAAAGTTTGTTTTAAGAAGCGACCTAAAAGAAAGTCACTGACTCGGCCGACCCGGTTTCTTCGGGCACCAGAGCCTCGAGGCTTTGACTGCAAACACTCAGCTCCCCTTAGTGTTCAGCTGGACCCTGGAAAAGACAAAATAATATTGTCTAAGTGCGTACCGGGCACGTAGAGGTCAAACCCTAGCTGGGAGAGAGGCCAGTAGTCTTATCATCATACTGGGAGCCTGGTTCTGGTTAAAGCCTGGCAGACGAGTTCTGTCAAGTTTGGAGCTGTTCAATAGATTTCTTGGTTCCAGCAGGTAAAAAGGCTTTTTGCAAGAATCCAGACGTGATGCAAAAAAACATCTAAAACGGTCTCTGAGTTCAAAAGTTCCAATAGATAGATAGATATATAGAGAGAGAGAGATCATGTTTGAAATGTTGCTAAGATGATAAAATCAGGTTTGCTTTGTGGACATCAGCTTTCTTCTTCTTGACAGGATTCAAAAGGGAACCGGCTGATGTCAGAATCTGACCCAGTGACATGAATCTCTGTTTTATCAGCTGAAGGAAGTGTTTGACGCCTTTCTGTTGTTTTCTGCTAAAGAAATCCCTCCATCATTACCAGACAGGCTTTGCGAGGCCAGACATGCCGTCCTCACATCGGTTACACCAGTTTGTGTAAAAACACTTGTTTGTTGTAATTTCTCCCTCCCGCAGCGGCACATGGACATCTTTGACTTAGTGTCAGGCATGCAGAAGGAGGCGATAAAGGAGGAGAAGGTGGAGAAGGAGAGAAGGAGGGAGTTGAAGGAGAGAAAGAGGGTGAAAGAGAGGCATAAGGAGAGGGAGCGTGAAAAGGAGGTTGAGCGAGAGAAGGAGAAAGACGAAGAGGAGGTATTGTGCAGCAGCCGGTGGAGTCGTTCTGAATATTAGCCAATCGGACGGTTTAACGTCGCCCATATTTCACTAATGTTAAGTTCATGTAGCTTAGCCCCTGGCGTCTCAGGATAACCTCTCATACATATTTAACACCTAAATCATTTCTTTTTAAAGCGGCGGTGGAATAAAACACAAACTGTGATAAAGATGTGTTGATTTGTTTTGGGCATCACAATACGAGATGTTAAAAGCACCTCATAATGATGGAAAAGAAATCTCTCATTCATTCCTTATGCAGGGTGCATAGATCATATCAGGACTGCAGAAAGTTAGCACACAAAACCCCAAACTTTCTAAAACGACTTATTTAATTTGAATCCATTTGCATTTATTATGTTTATGGCTGAAATTCAAAATGACGCTCTCCAGTGCTGCCGAGTCTGTGTGGTTAGATCCAGTGGAGTCGGGCCAGAGGCATGCATTCATTAACCACTGTACAACTCTTCCTCCTTCATTCTCAGCACTTATGTGAAGAAGGAATTGACATCTCATTATTCTTTATAAATATCAGTATTAATGCTGCCGCGGCAACAGGCGGTTAAAGCTGCCTCCCAGAGCCCACGGGACTCGTGTAGACTAGTCTCTGGTGACTTGTAGGCTTCCAGACATGTGACTGTGAGTGTTAGATAGATGTGGTGTTAGCAGTAACACACTTCCTGTTATCATGCAGGTGTCTGTGTTTAGTTGGACTACTTCGTGTCGTTTGGGTTCGTTGTGGTGCGGGAGATTAACATTGCCTGTTTTTATCGTACCAGCTAAAGTGTGACTTCCTCGTTTGTTTTTTGTTAATTTAACATAATCATTAACCCATTTAATCATATCATCTGTATCATGTTCCTTCCTTTTTGTTTTTTTCTTTTTCTGTTTATGTTTTGTCTTCCCTCCAAGTCTGTGTATGTCCCTCACGCACTGGCGTTCAAGAGATCGTATGCCACAAAGGTAGTATTACGTACATTCCCATCCATAACCTCCTCACCCACTCCACTCCCACTCCGCCTTCCTGCACATGTGCCACTCTGCTGGCTTCCATAACACCCCCTGCGTCCGCCTGGCCTCAGACTAATAACCGTCCTCTCTGGATGCATGTGACAGCCGGACAGCCACTTTACTCGCTGCTGGAACGTCCGCTCTGTTAAAACACGACTTTTCCAAACGGCGCTCACTCTTCTGGTCACAGTGTTCCCTCTGCATCTGTCCAAACCACGGGCTGCTCCTCTCTGACTGGTCTCGTATTAATCTGCCCACCTGTCGCTGTGCCACCTGTATTTACTTCCTGGAGTAACTTGTGACATGTTTCTCCACTCTGGTGCTATCTTCTCTTTCTCCTGAATCGCGCCAGCTTTTTGTGTCCTCACACGTCTGCCAAAAAGGGGAAAGTTCTGCTCATTCACATTTTATACCACAAACAAGAGCTGCAGTGAAGTTAATTTGTGTTGCCATACATTTATAGAGCCAGAGATGTGTGGTAAACGCCCTCATATAGATGTTCTAGCTTCCTAGACGATGCAGACAGCTTCCCCTCCTCTCCTGCTCAGTGGTTCTGACGGGTCGTGGCCCCGTGGAACCAGCTTCACACGTCGGCGGCTTGTGGATGAGACCTCTCTGACTCGTGTTTCTGTGCGTTCCACCAGAAAACCTACACGGAGGAAGAGCTGAATGCCAAGCTGACGCGCCGAGTCCAGAAAGCTGCACGGCGACAAGCCAAGCAGGAGGAACTCAAGCGGCTGCACAGAGCTCAGGTAACGGACACGCTGGTAGCTGGTAGGCTGTAAAGTTTAATGCACCTGGTGGGAAAATGTTCTTTTTTTAATGACGTTATTGTAAAATCGGATCCTTGCTTTTGTCGCTTTAATGTCCCGCTTCAGGTGTAAATTCATCCCTAAAAACGTCATCTCAGTGCACGTGTTTAGATTTTTGTTTTCCATAAAACAGAATCTGTTTCTGCTTTAAAAAGGCTCAGACGCAGCTTTAAACAAGTGCATCTACGAGCTCGCTGCTTCTCTCCTTCCTCTCACGGCAGCTCGACTTCAGCAGCCGACTGTGACGCTGTGAAACTGCTGCGCTGTGGCGTTGTGGGATTTTTAGAAAACTGAAACTGATTTTTATAGTTTCATAAAAGACAAACCTAAAGATATGATTTGGGAGGTTAAATAAATGTCGAAATGAGACTAAAATGTGACGTGTAAAAGTCAAGCATGAAGAAATAACGTGATTAAATAATATCATGTGTAAACAAAACAGTAGTTATGAATCTACTGGACGAACCTGTGAAAAAAAACATCCATCCATCCATTATCTATACACCGCTTAATCCTCACCAGGGTCATGGGGGGCGGAGTCTATCCCAGCTGACTCAGGGTGAAGGCAGGTTCACCTGGACAGGTAACCAGTCTATCACAGCTACTGGAAAAACCCAACCTAGTAAAAATCTACTGAAGGCTGACACCTGCTGGCAGGCCGGGATACAGCAGGCCTGGGTTCAGATAAGGACGCCATGGCCTGGAAATGACCCCGTAAACATGACGTCCAGAAAGTCATAAGAGGTCTACCACTGGGGGGGGAAGCAGGAACCCAGGGCCGTCTGAGATCATGCTGTGCTAAGCAGGAAATAATGCTGACTACGGGCTTTCTGATGGGTATCACAGATTGGGGTCGGGGTTTGTCCACGGTAGGAGGACGAAGTTCGCAGACGTTGTTAGCTGGCCACGTCTCGAGATTCTGCTAATGTAGCCTCTGAATCGAATAAACTTTATTCACATCAGAGTCTGACGACTGTTTGGAGATTTTTTCCGTCTCGTAGAACTTTTTTGGGACCTGAAGTACCGAGCTAGGGATCCTGATCATCGCTGGCCCGAAGCAGGCAAGCCGAGTCACGATTGGAGCGATCCAGCCACACGTGTTAGAGCCAGAAACTGATTTTATAGAAAAATAACGATACAGAAAGGTCCACGGCAAGAGCTGACAGGATTGGTTTCTTAGGTTTGTGATGTATGAAATCCAGGAAGTGTCGATCCGTTTATTTGAAGCTGTCGCTGCAGTTTCAAGGTAGAAATGCTCATCTGTGGTGTTTACTGCCTTTTTCCCCTCATCATACATCATCCAGCGTTTAAAACATCATAGAAGTTTAAAAAAAGAAAACATTCCCACCAGAGGGGGTCTTGAAACACACAGTTAAGTCTAAGCGTGTACACTGAGGTGTATTTTTATACAGCATGGTTTCTGCAGCCGCTGCTAGTCGGAGCTGCTTCACACCGTAGGTCACTCTAATGTGACTCAACCCTCTTGGATTGAGGCCAAATGCATCCTTTGGTTTGGAAATCCGCTGTGATTGATGCCGTAACTCTGCAGCACGGCTCCCAGTCCACTGACTCAGCACTAAGCTGCCTCCTCTCCTGGAGCTGTGGTTAGCTGGCCTGAATTTCACTTCCTTTTAGTGGCTATTTGCAGAAGCTAAACAGAAGTTCTTTTTTAGCTCCCATTGCTGGGTGGCACAGATAAACTTCAGCACTGAAGTTTACAGTAGAGAAACTTTTCAAAGGGAGCGTCCTCTGTGCAGTTCGTATGCCACCAGGACTAGCAGGTATAAATTAGGAAAACATTTATTAAAGATGGATGCTGATTTGCTCGTTTCCATGACGTTACCAGTTAGATGAAGGTGGTGTGGGCCACGTGGGTGGGGCGGAAACACTGAAATAACTTCTGCTGAAAATCATTAAATTACATTTTTAGCGCCCGTCAAAGCAGGCGTACGTACTTGTAGACATCAATAAAGTTGTAATTATCAGCGCTCCTGTTGCGCCTTAAGACATGGATTTTTTAATGAGGGTAAACAGTTTCGTCAATGGAGTGTTTGGGGCAAATCAGCTGTAATTAGCAGCGCTCGTTATTGCTCCACGCGCCCGACCTGTTTACAGCGTGCATGTGTGTTCCTCTGCGTGTTTATGCCTGCGTGCATTTCATTAACGATGTCGTTGCTTCTCGGCTCAGATCATCCAGAGACAGTTGGAGCAGGTGGAGGAGAAGCAGAGGCAGCTGGAGGAGAGGGGCGTGGCTGTGGAGAAAGCTCTGAGAGGAGAAGCAGGTAACAACTCCCCACTCATGCCTTCATATATATACGTATAATATATGCATTTGTTGTCAATCTGGCCGTCCCATGTGGCGTGTTTGTAATATTGCTGCAGATTAGACGTAACGTCCACATTCAGCGAGCTAATGGCTGTAATGAGTTTCATAACTCTTCTATTATTAATATTTTACAAGTGATTTACTGCTGGTACGGCAGTTAAATCTAGTTGTTTTTTTTGTGTCAGCTACTCACCGATGCCCGCTCCGTGAGGCCACAATTTATCTTTATGTGATACGAGTTGGGCCTTTAAGAGAGCCCCTGAGGGAGCAGCGGTAATATCCATGATTAGGATTATGTAACTCCGAAACCTGTCCCTCTGTGGTCATTTAGGTTGTGCTGAAATCACCGTCTGCCTTTATGGTCCCATCCAGGCGTAGCCGAGCATATTTCAGCACGCAGATTAGTTGCAGAAAAACAGATTTGTTTCTCCAAAGTCATAAAGACTTCTTGTTTCTGACAAGGGACTATCACAGACGATGTAGCTCTGAGACGAAGAGTAATTTATATGTTAGGCGTGAGCACGATTAGCGATGGCGCGTTATGTACATGTTGTGGGTTTCTATGAGAATAAAGGACTTTATTTGACATATATTAGATCCCAGTGTACTTTATGGTGCCGTTAGCTGAGCAAATCGAGCGCCTTCATCATGCAAAAGCACGCACGGAGATGCATCGAGCATTTATTTCACTTTTTTCTCCACCAAACAAATTGACTTTTTCTCCACCGCTGTTTATCCGATCCAATGTCTGAGTCTGTTTTAACTTGTTTACTACTCTACTCTCTTAAAGGATTGTATAAAGGTACTTATACATTACCCAAACAGCACAAAAGAAGATCAGGTATTAGATTTACTGTAGTTTCCTTTTTTTATTATTATTTTTGACACTGTTACGTAGGCTCCATCTGTGGTGACACACTGCAACCGTTCTCCATCTCCGAACATGTTGATCTCTGTTCCTTCATAACATGTCCGCCATCGTCAGTTCCAGCTGCATGCCGTCCCGGAGAATGTGTGTCCCGACATAGATTTGTGTGTGTGTGCTCGTTCTGGATGTGTGTCGTCCTCTTCACCGCCTCTCAACGAGGAGAGTTTCTTGTACTCTGATCTCTACTCGGATCACGTTGCGTTCTCTCCAAACGCAATCAGAGTGTAAAAGAAACCAAATTTAAATTGGGCTCGCCGGCTGACAACGTCCATATTAGAATGCTTTTCTGCAAATGTTTGCTGTAGTCGAGTGACTCGACACAGACATTTGTTGAGCTCTTATCTACTAAACATCTCATCGTTGTTCGTTATTGGGGTGTTGAGAACGCACAGCAGCGATCCAGAGCTGACTTTTCTGTCGTACCCAGAGGATTGTGCACCAAACAGAGAGTCAGCTCTCGCTTGCTTCGTCAAATTAAATGCACATTAAAAAAACAAAACAGAAACTGAATTTGAGCAGTTTCCTCGACACGTCCGCTGTGTGTGAAAGCAGCCGGACCGACCCAGTGAACAGCAACACAGCAAATCTATGTTGCAGTCTCTTATTATTTTGGGGAGATGTAGTGTTGCACAAGCTGTGGCTGCATTAAGCAGCGGCGGTGAGTACCGACGGACTCTCTTTGTTCTGAGCGTTGCTGCAGTGTGTGTGTGTGAACGTGCATGACTTGCTGTTGTTGGAGGATTTTCTGTGTGTGTGTGTGTTTGTGTGCCCAGTTTGGGGCCGTTTGAAATAACTCCTATCTCTAATATATCCCTGTCATTGTAGACTATTGGGGAGATTCTAATTACAGTGAAATCCTGGACTTGCATCTGGGCGGTATGTATTTCAAACCTGTCGCTTTACAACTAACCTAATTGCTAACCCGATCTGTCCTTCCTCTTGTTTTGACTACCTGAGCTTTGAACCCCTCATACCTGCCCTGAAGTGGCTGGCTGTGCTGGCTGGCTTCTAGCAACACGTTCTGCTCCTCTTCCTCCCTCCTCCTCCCCCATTCCTCCCCCTCCTCACCTCCGTCACCGGGTTTGTAGTTCTCGTTACATCAAACGAGCTCAGACACTCGGCCTCATGCTGTCCTCTTAAGATCCTCTTTGATCTCCATAAACTTATGAATGATGAATGAACGCATTAATGAGTAACTTTTATTTTGTCACACGCCCGCCGTACAACACGGCAGACCCACAAACGGACTTCCTGGATTTAAAACGCAAACGAGCTGAGGGCTGCATCGACAGCGAGTAGAAGAATAGTAACACGATTGAGCAGTTTGTAAGTTAAGATCGACGAAGTTTATTCAACAAAAGCGCCGACGTGATGGATGAGACGAGGAAGAAAGAGCTTCGGATTCTCATTTACGGTTTATTCTGCATTGTGTCCCATGAAAAGACCAAAACCCACCAAAGAGTCGCTCCTACCAGCAAGTATTGTCTGTTTAAAATTGGATATAGCTTTTCCCTCTCGTCCACATGCCTCCATTGTTGTCCAACAACTATTAAAAATGCAGCAGTGAGCTGCACTGCTGCACCTGCTAGCTTCAGTCTATCCCTCATCTCGCTCCACAGTAGTACAAATACTACAAATACTATACCTCAGCCTCAGAGTCGTCCTCCGTAAACACACGTGTTACTCCAGCTGGTTGAGGAGTTCTTAAAAACAACAGTTTCTAAGTTTGTTTTCCTTTTATATTTAGAGGGATCACAGACATGTGGCCCAAACTGCCACAGATGGTTTTACAGATTGTTGACCTTTCCATGGTTGTGTTAGAATTATTTCAACATTAAAAAAGAAAAGAGACTCAAGCCTCATCTTTCAGAGGAATTATTACAATGAGCAGCGTTCCCACACGTCCTGGAAAACCTGGAGAATCACTGAGCAGTTTTCCAGTCATGGAAAATGAGAAACAAAAGGTGATATGTCCTTTAAACAGTTCAGTTGTCCTGGAAAATGATTCGTCCTCCCAACTCCAATCGGTCATGTTAGTTATCATGCTGTGACCTGTGGGTGTGTTTAGAATAAAGAATACAATAGAACTTTATTAATCCCTTCAGTACAAGACCTCAGGGAAATTGCTAATTGTTTGCTTTATTCTGTGGTACACATCATGTCATAATTATGTTTTATAGATAAATCACAGCCACAGACTGAACATCACATGTCTGAGTGATAAATATCCAGACGATCTGGGGGAGCTACAGCTGCAGGAAACACCTCCAGAGAATGAGAGGGACGTATTAGTGTCTGTAGCGGCTGAAAAAGTCCTGGAAAAGTCCTGGAAAATAGTTCCAGGGACAGAGTAGGAGGCTACATGTGCCTCACCTACATGAGCCGTCTGGACACACAGTCGGACGATTTCAAACTTGTTCCGTCTCTCGTCACCGTGTGAATATGGAAGTAAAATATGGTTATAGATTTACAAAGCTCCCCCCTACACACACACACACACACACACACAGACGCTGTAAAAGTGTTACCTAACCTGTCTTGAACTAACTCCCACTAAACGCTGCCCTGGCTCTGTGCTGCTGTACTTCTGTAATCCCGACGACGGCTCCCCTGACTTTCCTCATACCTGCTCCAGTTGCATAACTCCCCCCGAGTGTGTGTGTGTGTGTGTGTGTGTGTGTGTGTGTGTGTGTGTGTGTGTTGTATGTGCTAATAGGCAGCGTCGCAGCCATTAACCTCAGCTGCTGTGTGTCGGTCAGCAGTAACCGTGTCCAGCAGACGTCTCTCTGTGGTTGTTTGAATATGAGCAGGATGCATCTTTTTTCTTCACATTTACTTCATAGATCGTGTTTTGTTTTGTTTTTTTTGGTGTGAGTAGCAGGAGGAGGAAGGAAAAAAAAGGTGCATCTTCTCATATTTGAGCAACCTTGTGCTCCTCTGTGGTTTTTGTCCTCCTGATTGTTGCTGCTTGAGATGTGAGGATGACGTTTTCCACTGACTGGTCGGCCGGACGTCTCTCAGACGTCTCATCCTCTCGATCTAACTCATTTAGTGGGTGTGAATGTTTGGAAACCTTCTGCTAGATTCTCTGTGTCTTGCTGTGGGAGAGGGTTCTGATAACTTGTCGTGCTCGGTTGGGTGATGAAGAACCGAAGCGCTCTGGGTGGATGCCAGGCTGCGGTTGTATTTGTGCCCTTCAGAATAAAAGCTGCCAAAAAAAAAAAAAAGGCCAGGTTATTTTTAAATAATTTTCTTTAGGAATGTTTAATCCCCTGCTGATTATTATGCAGTTGAGGGTTTACACGGAGCGTTACGAGCAAATGATGCATTTCACAACCTTATTTGCATGATTTGGGGAAGCCACAGAAAACGATTAGGACTCCAATCCGTCCAGAACACATATTCTAACCTGCATTTTCCCCTCTGTGATGGTCCCTTGTAGTAATTATCCAGCGTTTTACCCCCTCCAGCGTAGAAAGCCTTTCTCCTGTTTATGTCAAACCTTAACATGTGTGTTCCTGTGATCTCCATATCCACGCTCCTCTCACCGTTTTCAGTTCTTTGCTCTTCCCTTTGCACATGTTTTGCGGTCTTTCTTTGGGGGAGGTTATTAAGGTAGAATCTGTGATCTTACTTTTTTCTTTTGGAGAAAATCTTTTTAGTGAATGCAGATTAGAAAAAAAAAAGGTCTTAATTTGCACTTCAAAAGTAGGAACACTTCAAAAGTCATCACCGAGTTAAGGCGCCTGGTCTAAACATTCACAAGTGGTGTTTACAGCGAGAGCCTCTTCACAGCAATGATGTGTGTGTCAGCTCTCCTGGTGATCAGTAATAGTGGCTTTAATAATGCAGGTAAATCCTTTAATGTGCTGAGCATCAGTCATACATGTCGGCTGTTTCATAGTTGACATAATTGATGAAGTGAAGGAGTGCAGACCAGAGCAGACGATGATCTCCCCTCTCCCTGCTCTGGGCTCGTTGTTTTCTCCTGTTTCTTTTTCACCCCCGTTCTCATTTCTCACACCACACAGCTGATCTCTCCCACCTCCTCTCTCCAGGTGATTTGTCTTCTCCCTATCACAGTGCTCCTGTCCTCTGTTTTATTTTGCTCTCCTTGATATTTTCCTCCTCGCCTCACCCCTTCTCCTCCTCCTCCTCCTCCTCCTCCCACACTCTCTTTGTCCTCTACTCTTTTTGTCTCTGTGATGTCTCTCCTCCTCCTCCTCCTCCTGCATCATTTCCTTCCTCTTCTTTTCTTCCTCGCTCACCTGCGTCACTCCCTCTCACTCTCCTCCTCCTCCTCCTCCTCCTCCCCTCCTCCTCTGTCTTGTGGAAGTTGAGCCCTTTGTGGAGATGCCACGCCGAGGACCTCTCTCCTTCTGCCCCTGCTGTTCCCCTGAAGGTAACATAACCTCGCCGCATCTGCTGACAGTTGTGGCAGGTTACCGTGGCAACCGTAAGGATCTCCAGAACCGGGCTTGCCCCCCCCCCCCCCACCCTTTGGCGCCTCCTCCCATTCTCCTCACACCTGGACTTTACCGTTTTGTCTGACATTAGGCTCGCTAGATTTCTCCCCAGAATCTGCCCAGAACTCACTAAAACATTGTCACGAGGAAAAGCTCAGAGTCTGAGTTTGTGCAGGAATTTTTTTGACTTTTAGTTTTCTATCTTTCCTGTAACCAAGTAAAGAATAACACAGCTTTAATATTCCAGCATCTCTGAACAGGTTTTAAGACCCACAGTGGCCCTCGGATGTCTTCATCTCCGTCCATTAAAGAAAAGACACTCAAATAACTAGAAACTGGAAAAATTAATAATAAATAAGAATTTGCTAAATTATAGTTTAGGGAAATAACACATTGCTTTTGAATTTGGTTGAAAAGAATCATTTTAAAAAATAATAAAAAACTGTCCCAGACCAATGAGAGGCCTTTGCTGATGAGCAGTGGGTCAGAACACCTGTCAACAGGTGAGAAGTCTGACTGAGAGTTACAGGAAACACCTGATAGCAGTGATTGGCTCAGAGGGTTGTTCAGCTACATGTTAGTTCACTGGTCCCATCAGGCTGGTTTGCTTGTTTTTTAAAATTTATTTCTGTTGAACCACAATTAAAAAGCAACGTCATGATTTTTAATACATTTTTATTTATTATTAATTTTGTTAATTTCAGCTTATTCCAGTGATGCTATTGTTCTCCTTCTTTAATGGGAGGCTGTGAACACATCCGAGGACGACTGTATCTACCCTGTGTAGGGACTTTTATGGCAGACAAACACATTATTGCAGCCGTTCTCTACACTGTGGCTCTTCTGTCTTTTGTTTTGAAAAGGTTAAAAAAAAAAAACAGTGACACCACCTTCCAAACTGTTTAAATGCAGCCGTTAATAATGCAGGAAAAGTATGTGTGAATTCATACTGATGCATGTCCTGGAGTGTTGCAGTTACAGTCACACTTTAAATTACTGGTAAAACCCAGGTAGAGTAGCTGCAGGGAAACGACTCGCCTGTACGTCGTCTTTAATCAACAGCATGCATTCTGTTTCCTGTTTGGTCTAAATGCATCCTCAGTCTGCACTGCAGTGTCCACTGTTGCAGCATTTTTTAGGAGTTACGTCTTAAACGAATGTCCAAAGTGTCATGTAGTCATAAAACGATGATAAAACGATGAAAGGCTGCAGCGCGGCCGGCTCGTAGGCAGGTTTGTATTCGTAGCAGTGCATGGAGTGAAGATCTGTTGTGGATTACTCACAACTAGTCGTAGAACATGAATGGATCACCTGGTTTGTTTCTGCATCTAACACCTGTCGGTAGAACGTGTGCTTCCAGTGCCGCGGGCTGAGGGGTGGTGGTGGTGGATCAGGCCGCAGTAGTTTAAGGGAAACCGGAAGAATAAGTTTTGTGTGTCTACATGTTGTGTTCCTCTCCGTGTGAGCAGCACTTCTCCAGCTTTGCCTCTCTCTGTCTCTTGTCTGTCGATTAGCAAAAGCCAGTCCCCGAGACCACAACCATGCCATTTATGTGTGTACAATGTTTTTCCTTTTCGTTTTGCAAGAGCCTCCTCTTCCCCAGCTAAGTACGTCACGCTGCATCGAGGTTCGCCTTCTGGTGTTTCATTGAACCCGCTTGGCTCCACCTGCTGCAGTCAGATAAATGAAAGGGCGCCTCGGCCCAGACCTTTCTGAGCATGCCACACAGGCTGGCCTTCTCTGCATAATGGAGTGGGACTGCAGGAGAAGCGAGCAGCTGTTCTGCGCTCTCTTAACAGCGATGCATGATGCCGACACCACTGAACGTGTTTTACCCCGAGGCCGACTTAATAGAGGAGTGTGAACTTCGCTATTGGTCTCAGCGATAAGTCATCCCATGAACGTTTGACTCGTAATTGAATGTGCAATGACAGGAGAATAATTCATACACCCTCAAACCACCGAGCATGAATGGGGTCTGAAGGGATTTTATTTCTGCTGGTGGGTCAATATGTGGGCAGGAGAGGATGAAGAATACCCAGAGCTTCTTGATTTTACTTCTCTGTGATGTCTTAGCTACTGATTGGTGTGTTTGTGTTTTATTATTACCCACTCTGAAAAAAAAAAAAAGAAGAAAACACCCTGATAGGAGGAGGTAGTCGCTCCCAGAGAGCAGCTACGTCTCACACAAAGGCCAAACTGGGTAACACAAACTCTCAGCTTTGTCAGCTACAGGTACTGTATGTGGGTTTGTGTGCGTGCTTTGTATGTGTGCACTTGCTATAAAGCCCGTAGCGCCACGTCAGTGTCTGCGTGCCATCTGTAGAAGTATGGCACGTCCAGTCCATCCCTCCACCTCACCATCCCCCGGCCAGGACATCCCGGCTTGGCTGTCATTGCATCGCCTGTGTCGGTCCTCCTCTGTGTGATCTCGTCTCGCCTCCCGTCCGGCTTCTCACTCTCGCTTCCCCGTCTCCTGCAGGTATGGGCAAGAAGGACGACCCCAAGCTGATGCAGGAGTGGTTCAAGCTGGTGCAGGAGAAGAACGCCCTGGTCCGCTATGAGTCAGAACTCATGATATTGTGAGTACACTCCAGTGGGCTGGACGAGCAGATCGATCTACTGATAAATCAAACGTGTTTTTTTATTTCCATGGAGCATAACTGTAGGTCACTGGTTGCTATGACAACTCCTGTAATGACGATGCAGCTGCTGTTTTTACTGTACTGGATTTTCTGTGCTTTACTCAATCTGTTTCTTATATTTCTATAGTACTTGGATGTTTTTATTTATTACACTTATTTATTAAGTGTTTATTTTTGTTGAACAAGACCAGCTGTTCATAGCGACTGTAATTTAACACTCGTTGAGCTACTCCTCGTCAGGCTCAGCTGTATTATTATTATTATTATTATTTTTATTATTATTATTATTATTATTATTATGAGCTGTACGGCTTTAAATCTCAGAACCGCAAAATCCCAGAGTGGGTTTAAAAAGGCCTGGTATCTTATATCTCATTAAAAAAAATCACCAATATCTTCCTGTTTATCAGAGGCAGGAACTGTAGAAACAGAGAAACGACAGATTTTCAACTTTCCTGAACTTTTTATTCCTGATTTGCTGCTTTGTTGAAAAACTAAATCTAAGCTTCAAATAATGGAGTTTCATTAAAATCACTTTATTCTTCTTTGTCTTCTTTAAAACATTCACCAAAAATAACCAGAGTTGGTAAAAAACAAAACGTTCTGCGCACATCAGGACAACCGTTTAGGTGATGGAGAATCAATGAAGCCACACAAATGAAGGGAGTTCTCGGCTGAACTGCAGCCTGTGTTTGCTCAATGAAATGAAAAGTATCGACTGTAAAACCTCCGTAGTCTGCAGCGTCAACGTGTTTTCCAGTATTGTTAACACTTTGTCAGTTTTCTAAAATAAATAATTCAGCTTTCCTTTTATTTTTTAATGATTTATGGCATAAGATTCAGAAGGTGAAGCCTTTTAGTGCACAAAAATATATGTAAAAACTTTCTAAACAACTATATACAATATAAAAGAAATATATATAAAAAAACTCTATAAAAGGATTAAATTAAATAATGAGCACAAAGCACGGTGTATATTGCTCAGACTGTATGTTGGACAGAGGTGGAGGCTGTTGCATATTCACAATATATTACACTTATTATGATAAAGAGCATTTATGGCTCAGACAGCAGCTGGAAAGAATTTTGTCATTCTGCACAAATGACATGTTTGAGTTCTCTCTGCTTCTGTCCGTCGTCTGTTCTGCCTCCATGGAGCTGCAGGAGTTTATGTCGTCATGAAAAATGGACCCAAAGTCAGTAAAAATATAACGGGAGCAGTAAACCTCCAGAAACTGCTCCAGGTTCTGATGGTTCAACTCTAATTAAAACAGAAGTCTAACTAAAGAGAGCAGCTGGTGTTCCACAGCTACACCTTGTTTGGTCGTTTTTTGGTACCGTTTTAATAGCGTGTCTTCTTCACCCCTTTGGTTAAAGTCATTTTGATCTCCTGTGGCTTCCTGGTCAGATGAGGGTCAAATTAAAACCATGTCGTAGCAGCGGCTGTGTTTTAATGTCAACATGAGGACATCTCACCTCTCAACTCGGCCATTTCTAGCACGTTGTTTTAGCTTCATTCTCAAAGAGCAGCCGAGTCCGACGTGGTTAGTTTTAGTCTGGATCAGGTGGAAGGTGTGACGTGTGGACGGTACTGTTGGGATGCGTCCAAGTATGAAGATCACTGCGTTCTTTATACCACTGAGAGGGTTTTCCACTCGCCACCAAACTGCAGTTAGCTGACCGATAAACAGTCCTGTCGTCGCCACGGCTCCCGTCCCCGCCTCTGATAAATCGCCTGATGCTAGAATAATATTTCATCATTTAGGGATTTAGTATTTATGCCAAGGCAATTATAATCTAATGCAGAATTTACAGCTGATGGACCAGCGCAGAGTTATTACCTTCTTATTTTATGCTTATTATTAATAATACATGATGAGTTTAATGTTGATCGCTCCTTATGAAGTCATCATCATTCCTCAGCCTGATGCGATACGTGATCACATTTAGAGAAACAGCTTTATTACATTCTGACAAGTCATTAAATTAGCCGATGTTATCTCAGTTACTAAAAGCTTCGAGATGAACAATTCATTCCCTTTTTTTTTTTTTGGAGTGTTTATTAAATTCTGCATAGATAAACGAAGAAACTGTTGAAACACATCGATGTTGACAGCTACAGTTCATTAGGGAAGCAAACTTAGCTTGTTGTTCTTGTTTCTCTCCGTCCCCCAGTGCCAGAGAGCTGGAGCTGGAGGACCGACAGAGCCGACTGCAGCAGGAGCTCCGGGAGAGGATGGCTGTGGAAGGTGAGCGCACGAATACTAATTAGCCAGCAGCCCACTCAGTTCGGTTCAAAACGCTTCTATCTGTGTGTAATCTCTCCTTCTCTGCTGTCAGATCACCTGAAAACCGAGAAGGAGCTGGCTCAGGAGAAGCAGATCCTGAACGAGATGCTGGAGGTGGTGGAGCAGCGCGACGCCCTGGTGGCCCTCCTGGAGGAGCAGAGGCTCCGGGAGAAGGAGGAGGACAAAGACCTGGAGGCTGTCATGCTCTCCAAAGGATTCAACCTCAACTGGGCCTAACGGGAGGGAAATAATTGCTCGTCAAGTTTTTGGGGTTTTCAGCTTGTCAGACGGTCATCTCTGCATTTGATTAGTCTGCTGAACACTGACACAGGCGGTCGGTCTGTCACACCTACAGCAGTGAATGTGTAAAGACTCCCCCTAACACAACACACACACTCACACACACACACACACACACACACACACACACACACACTCACTAGGGCTGCCTCTGACATTGAAGCAGTCTGCAGCGTTTACATATCTTCTGCCCAAAGGCAGTCCGAGTTAATCACTCTGCAGTTTTTGCTCTCTCTCTCTCTCTGTGGGTGGAGAGGCGAGTGTATTCACAACTTTATCATCCCAGCCTTGAAGTGGATCCTCTCATGCCAGAGGAGGAGGAGGAGGAGGGAGGAGGTGGTGGTGGTGGTGGTGGTGGGGGGCCTTTGGGAGAATGTTTAAAGACTCTCGATTATTTAAAGGGAAGAATGCAGTTCGGTCCTGCTGATGTAAAGGAAATTGTAAAAAAGAAGAAGTGTTTTTGTGTATAGTTGTGTAGAACATGTGACGTTCTGAGCAGACGAGGGTCGCCGGTCTCCCGCTAAGGAAGCGACGGAGGTGCGTTTAAAGGCTGCGGCGATGTCTCCAGGCTCGGGCTTTCAGTCTGCGACTGCAGGACGGACATCCTCTGAAGCTGCCTTTCTTTTCTTTGACAAACTGACTTCAGCATCCTAATGAACCACAAACAGGCCATGAAAGGCTCCTTTTTTCTCTGCCCCCCTCCCCCCCACAGAGCGGCTGGTGAGTCAACACTAAGAATCCATTAAATATGGCCATGTTGGGTTTTTTTAAATGTATTTATTATCTTTGTTTGCTTTTAACAGATAAGCATTTTATTTTTCTTTTGCATTCACAGGAGAGTGCCCAGAATCTCATTATCTTGCACTCGTGCATAACTGCCGTGCACTCGTAGGCCGTTGCATGTCAGGAACGAAGGCTGCAGGCACATAGAAGAACTTTACATCGTCTTTGGTATTTAGGACGCAGAGCTACAAACTCGTTATATGAACATTTAAGCATTTCACCATGATGACGGGCCTCTCCGTGAGATGCCGTTCACTGTACATCACACTGACGTTTACAAACACCTGCTCAATATGGATTCGGATGGTTCTGGTGAACAGCACCGACGTAGTGCGGCTGTCCGAGAACTGTATTAACAATGTGATTTATTAATGACTCTGACGTCATTGTTGTTAACGGGAGATCGTACGTCACACGTTTCGTGCCACAGGACTGTCTCTGTTTGTGAACATGCTGCGATATCGGACAGCGTGATCACGTCACCCTCCAACAAGATGCCTTCTTTCATTTTCATTCTTAAGTTATATTTTGGTTTTTCTGACGTATCCGTGTGTCCCACTGGAACTGGTTTTGTTTGAGTTTTTTTGTCCCCCCACACAAACAGCATCGATCATCTGAAACAGGCCACTCAACCAATGCAACGTGAGCGACTTGAATCAAACTTTATGGTTTATCTGGTGAGCGGTTAAATGTAAAAGCCGTGTTTTTTTTGTTTTTTTGGCTCTTAGATTTGACTGTAAAAACTGTAAAAATCCAAGCGGCCCTTGTTTTCCAGCACAGAAACACTAGCGGCTGTATGTATGACTTGGTATGAGCTGTGAATAAAAACACACAAAAACAAAGTTACACGATTTTAAGGGTTGTTGTTTTAGATGGTGTGTGCTCAGTTTGACATGATTGTATTGATATTTATTAACATGTGTGCAAATTGTATTATATGTAAAGAAAATGAATCCTAATTTTTAAAAAAAACAAAAACTGTTCTGTTGACACATGACTTGTAATGTAAATGCTTCATGTAGCTAAAATACATAGGGGTGTTGGATGTATGCTGAAAACAGCAATAAAACAATGCAGTTGTTCTTTTACTCGTCCGTCTCCGGCTTCCTGATTGTGTGAGTCGTACTTATGAGGAGGTTCTAGAGCAGGGGTGTCGACATCCGGTCCTCGAGGGCCGCAATCCTGCAAGTTTTAGATGTTTCCTTCTTCCAACACACCTGATTCAAATGATCAGGATCGTTATCAGGCTTCTGCAGAGCTTGATGATGAGCTGATCATGTGAATCAGGTGTGTTGGAAGAAGGAAACATCTAATACATGCAGGATTGCGGCCCTTGAGGACTGCAGTTCGACACCCCTGTTCTAGAGAGTTAACGTCGGCTGGTTTCCTGCTTCCTTTACAGCTGGAGATCTTACAATACCTCCGATGTCTGTACGAGTTCTGCCTCAATGAATACACCAAAATCATTTTTTTATCTGATGCAGCAAAGAAATGAACCTAAATGCTCACAGTCAGGCTACATGGAGTCGGGGTTGTAGCAGCACACGTACTAAATGCTGAATGTTCTGCACTCACATGGTGCTTTTCTGCTTTAGTGCTACTCAGAGCGTTTTACTGGTTTCCTGCTCACGGCTGCCGAAGGGAGCGTCCTGGGATTCACTGTCGTGCCCGAGGACTCTTCAGCACATGAAGTGCCCCGAAGATGGAACTCACTCCACCACTTATACTCTTAGCATGTGCAGCATGTTGTGATAAATAGTTCACTCTGTAACCGGTTCAGGGTTCTCTGTGATGGAACCAGACAGTTTAAAACAGTTGAATGTTGCGCGTTCATAAAGCTGGTTGACTAACAGGAGACAGAATAAAGAAGGAATGGGGGACATCTGAACAGCCGAGGCACAGCAAACAGATCCTCAGTTCCTTCAGCGCTGCACATTTCTCGTAAAGCAGTTAATATGAACTTTGTTGGATCTTCTCCGCCTGCTGAATATCCGTGTTTTGTTTTTAAAAAAAATCAATTCTTCAAACCAAGATAATAATAATCTCTGTTTCTAGAGCGCGTTTCAAAGTCACAGAGCTTCACGAAGCAGCAAAATGAAACCGACGAGTCATAAAATCACCAGGATTCAAAACAACATGAAGACAGTGTCAGAGGATGTAAACAGCTTTATGTAAGAATGAGGAGACAGAAGGCTCGTCTATAGAAGTGTTTTATTGACTCTGAACTTCCTCCTGACCACAAAGACCACCTCATGTTCAGGGGGTCCTGGACCAGACCAAAGACCTCTGGCCCAGTATCTTAAAGTGCATTCTGGTGCATTCTGTAGGCCACTAAAAGGTCAGAGCTGGATCAGAACATTCTGGTCCTGGTCACATCTTTATCTAACAATCAATATTTTTCATCATCCAGAGCAAACTGATAAACTAACTGATATGTGGACTAGACCTTTTATCCGGAAAACGCTAACAGGTGACCAGTTAACAAAATAAAACAACCCAGTAAAATCTAGTGGCGAATTATTCTCTATTTTTTATCTCATTATATTTTTCCACCACAGACTGAACACAGCTAAAGGTTAATCACTGACAGCATGCTCCAGTTAACGCAAACACTGCTCTGTATATCGTAAACGCTTTGCTAGTGCTCTTACTTTGAAAGCGAGCCCATAATAAAACTTTCACTTCCTGTTGTCACTTTTTTGTTTTTAACTTGGTACGAACGAGCTGAACTCTCAAAGCTGACAGAGACTGAAGCTGGACTCTAAACATGCTGCCTGCGAGTTACAGGGACTGTCAGGTAAAGATGAGCTGAATATAAACTTTTAAAGAGAGAAACGGAGTCTGTCAGGAAACAAAGTCGTGATTTAAGGGCTGTTCGCATGAATGCAACTAGCGGATGGGACTTTGTTCCACAAAATGTAGATCCAGTGACAGTAAGATAGAGAAACTTCTATAACAAACTAATAAAATTATGCTAAATGTAACGTGGACGTGGATAAATGTGTTGCTCAATGCTTCAGTCAGCGCGTTGACCTGCAGTAACCCCTGACAGCGACCCTAGATAACATGTACTGGCTGAACTGGAAGACAGACAGACAGAAGACCTCAGTGTGAACCACAATCATCATGTTTTTTTCAGGCTTGGAGAGCAGAAGGTCTCCAGCTGTCCACCAGCAGCAATGAAGCCTGCAAACTGTTTGATGCCATCCTCACACAGGTAGCCCAGCACACACCTTCACACACAGTCTGAGATGAACTGCTGAGTATGCATTAACTGTAGAAAGTATTCACCCCCGTTCATTGCATTAAAAAAAATATAATTAGCCTCTTTTTTTTAAAAAGACTAAACAAAGCAACAAATAAAAGAGAGCTTCCAAGTCAAGTGAGACTGTAAAACATAAAACAAGTGATTGCATCAGTGTTCAACCCTGTTCGGTTTGTGTGCAGCAGCAACAGAAGCATGGAGTCCTGTGCTGATCGTCTCAACCAGCCGTGCACATCTGGACGCTGCATCTTACATCATTGTGCCTTTAAAAACTGCCCGAGCTGTCAAGTTGCTCTCGGATTGTGAGTGAACAGTCTAGACACAGATTCTCAGTTGGATTGAGGTCTGACCCGGAAACTCCTGAACTTTTACCTCGTTGTGTTTCCCTGCACACTTTGGTTATTGTCTCACTAAAAAAAAAAAAACAGATTGCCTCTCAGGTCGCAGTTCTCAAATGCATCAGGTTGTTTTCTAGGGTCTCCCTACATTTATTTTACACTCTAGCTTTAATGGTCGTCTGTGGGCCTGCTGCAGAGAAGCTTCCCCACGTCGTGATGCTGCCACCACCGTGCTTCATCATGATGCTGCCACCACCATACTTTAACGTGGACATGGTGTGTTTTGGATGATGTGCGGTGTTTGGTGTTTGCCAAACATAGTGTCACGTTTGAGGCCCAAAGACCTCAATTTTTGGTCTCATCAAACCAAAGAACATTTTTCTAGCTGACTTTAAAGTCTCTCACTGGTCTTCTGGCAAACTGTAGCTGAGATTTAGGACTCGTCGGTGTCTTGGTGTCCTCCCTCACTAGTCTCTTTCTAGTACCTCCTTCAGAGGACTCGTAGGTGTCTTGGTGTCCTCCTCACTCACACTCACTCAGTTTTTGAGGGCGACCTGCTCTGGGTCAGATTTACCAATGTGCTATATTTCATAATGTTGGATTAACTTCACTTCACAGGATGTTCAGTGACTTTGAATGTTTTTGCATCCTTTTGCATCCATACCTTCTCCCTGAGTTGCTTGGTGTGTTTCTTGTCTCCAGTTATAGCTGATATGCTGATGACAGATACAGGTGTCCTTACATTATAGTCACTTGAGACACATTCATGGCTCTCAGATGATCTCCGTTTCACTAGATGTGTGACTTTTAGCGGTTTACTGCACCTTTAAAGTGGCTGCAGCTTGAATACTTATGCAATTACTTGTTTTATGTTTTTGTCAGAGGAGCCACGTTATACTGACCATGATTCAATGCTGGAATGCAATAAAAGGACAAAGCTTCCAAGACGGGTGAATACTTTCTGTAGGCACTGCATACGTACAGTTTGCACGCAGAGATTATCTGCAGACTGCTGCATATATGAATGAAAACCACCCTAACAGCTCTGCTTTGTATGGCTCCCAGTATGTGAAATGGAGGAACGATGAAACCTTGGGAGGATTCGAAGGATGCTTTTCTGCTATCCAGGCAGCTGACCCTAACTTTGGTAAATAAATATGGCATCAGCTATCATTCATTTATGTGGCTCAGTCTTTATCTTGACCCGGTAAGTTCTGAAAAGGAAACTTTCAAAGTGGACGTGGCCGGAAGGCGTCAAGGAGTTAAAAATACAGAAGAAGTCAGCAAGTCAAGGTTCAAAGTGAAGAATAAGAACATGAGAAAATGATGAAGGTGCTAAATTTATCTGCTGCTAAAATAATCTAATTACAAATGGCTGCATGGCCTCTACACTGTAAATAACCACGGAGGAGGTCACTTCCTTCACGTTCTGTCATCGTTAGTTCTGGTTGGTCGCCTCAGTTTGAGCTTCTATCAGATGTTTTAAATATCTAGTTGTTGTTCATGCAGATGAGTCAACCCTCTTTCACGCAGGTTCAACACTTTTTGATGCTCCAGAGAGCTCGAGGCAGCTTTTTGATGATGATCTTTTCATATACCTGCATGAGGAAAGCAATTTGAAGTCTTTAAGTTTAATGTTGAATTCTCGAGTGCAACAGTCTGCTCATGTCTGGCTGCAGGTCGATGCCAAAATCTTCACAAGTGCATGTGATTTTTCATGGTAGCAGAGGCAAAGTCCGCAAAGACAAGACCCGAGTTGTTTGTTTTCCCTTCAGTTATGGGCCACGTGATCAGTACCGGGCTGGAGGTGGTGGGAACTGGCAGCAGCACCCGGCTGGATGAGCGTCTGGCCAGCGCCGTGAAGCGAACGGTGGAGCTCGCCAACAGCCAGGAGATCTCTGAGAGAGAGAGGCTTCATGTCAAAGCCATGGAGCTGTTCTCACACGGGTAAGGTCCAGAACCAGCAGATACCGTCAGAACAGAGGGAGGAGTGAGACTGTAGACACTGTTCCCACCCAGACAGGACTCTCTCATGAAGGGTAGCTTCAAAAGAAAGGTATTAAATTCTGTCGCGTACAGATGACCCCCTTTAATACATAAAAATAATAGTTCTATGTAAGAAACACATTTTTATAATCAGGAAATAAGGTATGAAACTATAGAAAATACAAAAATGTGTTTGTCATCATGCAGACATTTTGAAATGGTGAAAACAAAACCTGCATGTTCGGCTTAATTTAAAGACAGTTATACTCACTACATAGATTAATATTAATGAACTAAATATAAATGAGCAGATGCTTCTTTGGGCTGTAAAAAGTCCAAAAAAAAAAGCCACTGAGCCACTTCGTCTGTTTGCCAGGACCGAGTACAAACACCAGACCAACAGAGTGGACGGCTAGTCGACGGTGTGGAGATTCACTGAGTCTGACAACAAGTGTGTTGGATGAGAACGACTCGCTCCACCTTTACTGTGTTTGGCATTTCACAGGATAAAATAAAATGTGTGCCGGTCAAACCAAAATGTTTATAAGTGGCTGAATCATAAAGAAGTGAATATAAAACAATAAGATTAACTGTATTATAACTACTATGCCAACTGGGAACCCATCACATTTATACCAAAAAGCAAAAATGTGACCAGTTGAACACTTTTTTATCCAAACATGAACCCCTGCTGTAAATATATGAACAAACTTAATCAGTAAAATCAAAATGCTCCTGTTGTAATTCCATTAAAGCTTCTACTTATAGAGCATAATGTGAAATATATTTAATAATGAAATACATGTGTTTCAGGTAATGATATTATTAAAGACACCCCACAGAGAGACGCTTCCACAGATTAAATCTTGTGTGTCACAGTTTTATAATTCAGTAAATGTTGGGTCCCATCAGAGCAGAGAGAAGCCAGAGGAAATGGGTTGCTTGTGAAAGAGAGAATGGGCTCTTTTAAACTACCACAGTGTTTTTATTCATCAGGTGATGTTCAGCCCCTGAGCGTATGAGGCTACATGTGATGCATCCACGTGCTTCACATCATCTGTTAGGGTTCATGCCAGCGAGGCAGCCAGTCGCTATCCAGCTAGTAATCTTTGTGTTTCATCTTATTTCCCCGCGGTACAGTCGGATATACTGTAATACCGAGGAGCCATTTGGTTCCTCAATATTGTCTTGGAAGTTAATTATATAATTTCCTGACGAAACATGTTGACATCTGTGGTTCTGGCGGTGCACTCGCTCTGTTGTCCTTCGCTGCTGCTGCCCAGGACTCGTCTCTGACGGCGGCTCGTTTTTCTTGCAGGAATTTTCCAAAAGCCAGTAACGTATGGGAAGATATTCTCCTGGATCATCCCACCGACCTGTTGGCCCTCAAGTTTGCCCACGATGCCTACTTCTACATGGGAGCCCAAATCCCGATGAGGGACTCGGTGGCCAGAGTGCTCCCCCACTGGAAGCCACACATGCCTTTGTCCTGGTATAGAAGACAGCGTGCACGACTAAAACATCCAATCATCCAATCAGACACTTGAATTACTCTTTGTTCAGCAGCAGTGGCAAGAGAGAGCGACCATCAGCACACGATACGAATCAAATATGAACTATACTGACCTACAGATAGGAAAGGAATCAAAGAAAGAAGAGATTTTGGATTGATTTCAGTGTGTTATGGACGTAATGGATGCATTAGGCTGTAATACATACGATATATAACACATAAAGGAGACGTAATCATCATGAGCAGGACTGAGGATTCTTATATTTAATGGTGTGTGGCTGCTTTTCATCATCCTAGCAGTAAAAAACAGTGCTTTCTGTGTTTTGTAATGAGAGTGTGTGTGTGTGTGTGTGTGCCCTCAGCTATTTGAAAGGACTCTATTCCTTTGGTCTCCTGGAGACTCGCTACTACGACCAGGCAGAGAAAGTGGCCATGGAGGTGAGACTTTCTTCTCCATTATGTTGTGTCGTACACGCTGTTGTTGTCGCCGGGTGTTCCAGGCTGTCTCTGCCTCTGCTGATTGTGTCAGTTCAATTCAGCAAGTAATTTGCTGTCAAAGACCAACAATAATAAGCAGCTCGTCCAGACCCCGGCGCCCTGACTCATCTGCGCTGAATGCCTAATGCATACAAAGCAGCTACAGCACGAGGGTCACTTGAAAAAAAAGATTGAGGAACATCGTGGACCAAATGGAAGATAGTAGCGGCGACTTGAGCGTGTAATTACATCTGAGCTGTCATCGTACTGTGCTGTAAGACGTCAGTATTTCTTCCTGCACCCGTCATTGCTTCTCCCAGCTTCACGGTGTGGATCTCTGTGCAGGGCCTGGCTCTGGCTCCGGATGATGCTTGGAGCGTCCACTCCGTGGCCCATGTTTGTGAGATGAAGGCAGAGGTGGACAAAGGCTTGAAGTTCATGGAGGGCAGAGAGAAGGACTGGCAGGTAGGGCCTACGGTTGTTTCTCAGTGGTGTGTTGGTTTTTTTTTTTCCTCTGATGAATCACGTCTCGATAACCTTGTAGAGTTCCAGAGAATTAAATTACGAAATGAAAAAAGGTAAAGGAAAACTATTTGAAATATGCAATGTTCAATTCCAGGTGTCTGACGTGCTGGCGAGTCATAACTACTGGCATTGGGCTCTGTACTTCATTGAGAAGGTAAATATAAATTATAATGAGTTTTTTCAGCCAAGCGAGTAGCTGACAGTAGGAGGAATAGCGGGACTCGTATTTATGATATCGTTTCCTGTGGGTAATATGAAGTCTGGAGTTGATTATATTGTGAGATTAATTTGTGTTTGCATCTGTGAAATACAATTCATCAACCTTGCTTATCTCTCAAGTCTGAATCGACTCAAATCCGTCTCTCTCACCACCTCCTCCTCGTCCTCCTCCCCCACAGGGCCAATACGAAGCCGCGCTGCAGATATACGACGCTCAGGTTGGTTTGTGCATCGAGCCTTTGATGGTATATCTGTCGGAGATGTTTTGAGAGTCATGCATGCACCAGCACTCAGGGGACGGAGGCTAGCAGCAGCGTGTTGTGCTCGCTGTGAGTCAAGAGGCTAAGTGTGAGCAAATGGAAGTCAAATCCACAAGAAGATGTGAAAGCCAAGGAACCACCCACACCCATTTCACTGTCAACTGCCAGAGCTGATTATTTTTTTATTCAGACGCTCTAAAAATAGGAGAGACAATTTGAACGTGGAGCTCTTTGATGTCCTGTACCTTCACAAGAAGAACATTTCATAATCTCACTTACTTACTTGAGTTTGAACACAACAGAAGTTCTTACATCACATTGGCTGAAGCTCGTGAATGTTTAACGCTGACATCGGGGGAATCCCGTAAAACATACATGTCTGCTTTAAAATTTGATTTCTTTGAAAAATGTCGTCTTGCTGCAGTCACGTGTTCCATCCATCAGCGTTTGAGACGAACAGTGAAAGCATGTCGTTCTTCCCTCAGGTCTTCAAGCGCTGTAAGGCCTCAGGATCCATGTTGGACACTGTGGACGCCAGCTCCATGCTGTGCAGACTGGAAATGGAAGGTAGCGTAGATGCAGCGTTGGAGCCTGAGTGCTGTTTACGTAGTTTTGTGATCCTTTGCTCTAGAAGGAAATCTTTTAAATTGCACCATTTGCCCAGATGAAAATGCTGAAACATTTGTTAATGTGCTGCTAACGAGCTGAAGGGCAACTGCAGCATCCAATTTAAGACAATTTAAGACACGCAAAACTGCTAATGAGGCGAGATGATCTCAGTTATCATACTTCATTAACCTGAGACGCAAAGTGCAGCGTTGAAAATGAGGGTAATTAGCAGAACCTCCGACCACATCTCAGAAATGAATTGACCACCCTACTAGTTCAGAAAATGTGTTTTGCAGCCTTAAATCAACGTTTGTGTTGCTGTGTGTCTCAGGAGTGTGTGTGAAGGACCGCTGGAAGCAGCTGCTCCAGGTGACGCAGCCGCACACCGACGATCACGTGACCTTGTTCAATGACCTCCACTTCCTCATGGTGTCGCTGGGAGCTAAAGAGAGCGGGACGAGTCAGCGTCTGCTGGAGGGCCTCCAGGAATTAGCGAAGTAAGTTCCGCACCATTTCCTTCTCCTCAGTGCACACCTCAACACTCTGGCAGCCTTGCATAAGAGCAACAGCAGCCTTATGTAAAACAGAGGGAGAAACAAGGCTACGCGTAGGATGTGAGCTGGAGAGAGAGCGTACAGTCAGGAAGGGATTCAGAGCTGCAGCCTGTCTCGGGGAGAAGGGTCTTCCCTCTGAAGCAGATGTTGTACCAGGAGCTGCTGCCTCTGTGGACTTCTGTGGTTCTGATGTTCCGACCGCTGACAGCCTGGCCGCTCCATTTTGTCCCACATATAAAAGCTGCCATTTAAAGCCAACCCTCACGTCGTCATGTTGTGTCACAGACGCGGTGTTATCTTGAACGTCACCATGTTTTCTCCCCAACGCGGCTTCGCTTTGACTCACCAGGAAGGCTGCAGGCATGTTCGAGCTTTGCATTCATTTAATGTTATCGCTCACATGTAACGTGTCACTTTCATTATCTCGGCTCGGGAGGATCGCACAGTTTTTCGTAATCCACGTTCTGCCGCAGTGTGATTCTCCAGTCGGAGGTAGCGACTGTTCGGCGTTGGCTAATCCTGGAAAGCTTCACTCCAGTTTGGATTCTTTGGCCTCACAGTGAGGCGAATCCTCCTCAGTGGGAACACACATTAATACCCCCGTCAGCCTGTATAAATACCCCAGCCTCCAGCTTCTCCTGTAGATTTAGTAAATTTGTCTGATTGTACATGATAATCTGATGGAAGAGTTTCCGTGTCGGCGTAACTTCTGTGAACTACAGTTTCTTTTATTGAAGAAAACCAGAATAGAAAGGCAGCTTTGATATCTGAGAGCAGGTAGTGATGTTTCTCTCCAAATAAATAAACCCAACAGGATTTTTTGTGCCGACAGCAGCAGCTGTGACTGTAGACATTGCGTTTCTGGGTTTTCTGTACATCCCATTATGGTGAATGTTAGGAAAGCCTGAAGGGAACCGAATTACATCTGACTTGGACTTCATGATGTCCTGATTTGAAGCGTGCTTTCTTTGATCCCACGAAACCCTTTTATTTTTTTTTAAACTTTTGTTTTCAATAAAAAATAATTCCTTTGTGCTGTAAAATAGCTTTGATGTAGCTCTACGCTGTTGCTTCCACCAGCGTGTGTCTTGTAGGATCTAAAAACATCATCCAGACACGATACCAAGGTGACGGAGCTCCAGCTTCACTGGAGGGCTTCTTCACACATGTAAAAACAGCATAAACTGATGAAGTGATGACGTTTATATCCAGAATGTGAAAGGTCATCTGTCATCATAATGTTCAGCAAAAACACTTTTCTTTCTTGAAGCTGTGGTGATGGCCGTAAATCTCCTGTCAGTCTGAAGACGTGTTTAAAGCGTCCACATGTTAGAATTTTAAGTTCTACCGACTAAAACTTAAAGAATCGGCTTTATTGGCCGTGAACAGATGTAATAATCAGACTTTTTTCCTCTCAGTGAGTTTACACACCTCAAAGTTTTTGCTGCATATATTACAGAAGTCTGGACTGAACCTGAATTTAATCCACTAAATGACTGGTTGGCAGAGACGCTAAATCTGGTTAAAAGTTTCCAGAAAGCTCTACAACCAGGAATTGTTTAATAATGACACATTCTTTGAATTGCATCAGGAACTATATTTATCCGGCTGCTTGTTCCTTCTCGGTTTCTGTGCTTCACAGGCAGCCAGGGGACAATCAGCAGCACCAGCTAGCGGGGACTATCGGCGTCCCCATGTGTCAGGCCATGATGGAGTACAACCAGGGCAACTACAATCAGGCCATGGAGCTGCTGTACCCTTTGCGCTACCGCATGGTGGACGTAGGTGGCAGTGACGCGCAGGTGAGCTTCATGGAAATGGACGGCGGAGGTGAACAAACAAAATCAAACCCAAACCGCGGCGCTCTCATCGCGCCGTTGAAAAGCTCTCGGCCTTGAGGCTTTATTTTCTTTGAATACCATCGATCAGGCTGCATTGTTTTGTTTTGAGTAAAAACTGAAATCCCTGCTGCCGCAAAAACAGGCCAGAGGTGAAGAGCGGCGAGCACGAGGGCTGCAGCTTCTCAGTCTGTGAACATACCACATAGTGTGAGAATGTGGAGCGCAGTGCACCAACGTATGAATAATGAATCGTTGTGATGGATGCTGATGGACTTTTTATGTTCTCCGTGTTCAGAAAACCATCCTCCAAGGTGCAACAGTGTACATACAGGCGAACGCAAAAAGGTGGAAACACTGAGCGTATAGCGCGGAGGAGGCTTGTGTTTACTAATGGCTTTGTCTATTGTTGTTTACAGAGGGATCTGTTCAATCAACTGCTTATTCACGCAGCCATGAAATCTGAGAATAAGCATCACCAGAAACTGGGAAGGTAATGCACACCAGGGATTTCAGGCCAAACACGGGGCGCTTCTGCCTTTTCCCATCTCAGTGTTTTGCATCTTTGCCGTCCATGTTTTCATGTAGGATCTGCTGAGAGACTGAGCGAGAGGAGGGGGGAGAAAAAAGAGAAGTCTTGCATTATTTGAACCAGTGGATTTCATCATGATACTGTATAGCTGCTGATGGGACTGCTGTCCACTCCACTTTTCTTTTAGCTGCTGTCTTTCCATGTGCACACAGAACACAAGCTGTTTTCATGCTCCCATTATGTAACTGACATTCGCTGTCTGTACGCCATGTAATGCTTTCATTATTGATCAGGTTAGTCTCTCAGCCCGGAGTCTCTTTGAATCTGTGTTCATCTTTTGGCGCTGTCTTGTGCTGTGCTGAATTCCCCCAGATGTCTTGTGGTGGAGCGTGATGCCGTGAGGCCGAACTCCCCTCTGACCCACCGTCTGATGCAGAGAGCTCGGGCGCTCCACGTCTGAGATGATTGCAAGGTGCGCCGAGCAACAAGAAGAGAAAAAGAGTCCATCAGAGCCCGGCTGTAATCTGCTGGGCCGGTGTTGGGCTTTAGGAGAATTCTTCACATTGTTGTGAAAACAGCTGAAACCTTTATGCAGCACTTTTTTCTTTTTTCATTCTTAGTGCGCTTTTCATATGAAGCTCCAAGTGTTGGATAATAAATAAATCATTCTAGAAGAACACTGACCTGGAAAACATTATAGAATAAAATTAAAAAGACCATGATTTGAAAAATAATGTAAGAAATAATTTACTTCTCTTTTTAGTTTATATTTCTATATTTCCCAATAACACATTTCATTTTTTATGTGTTACTGTTTAATTAAATGCTCCTAACCCTAACAAGCGCAACAACTTCTACCACATTTAGCCAGTTAGCAAACTAGCGCTACAGCGATAATAAAGTTACTCAGAACCTCGGCTGTGTGTCGGCAAAGTCCAAAGAAACTGACTTTTATTATTTTATTCCATGTTACCTAAGCAGCTGGCCGCTTTGTTTATTACTTAATATCACATTAACACGCCTTCCTCGCTCGTACGCGGCCAGCTACGGCACAAGGGTCGACTTAGAAGCTAAAATATAAAGGTTTAGTTACTGCGTCTATTCACAGCAGCAGCGAGCTGCTGATTTACAGCCGTCTGACAATAACTGCTCCGACCAACAGGTGGTAGAAAGCCGGAGCAGTTGTTGAGCTTAAAGGCAAAGCACATGTTAGCCGCTAAAAGCCGGGAGTGAGGACGCTGCTAAAGTGACTTTAAGAAATGAAATGTGACATAAATCTGTGCTAAGCTTCAATAATTTCTTCAATTTCAATTTTACTGTATTTAACAAAATGCATTCCAGCGTTTGTTTGTTGAATCTTGTGCAGATTTCAGATTGTGGACGTGTTAATCTGAAGCGCTATGAGATGACTGTTGTTGTAAATATGCGCTATACAAATAAAATTGAATTGAATTGAATTGAATTGAATTAATCTGTTTAAGACCAACGTTTCACACACGTCAAGGTTTCTGTTCTGATGATAAACGAAGCTAAAGCATCTAATGAATGTATATCACACTGTCTCCATGAACAGAAGTGCTTTAAATACTTTTATTAGCAAACTTATCACATTTAAATATAAATACTTTCAGAGATGAAACCTGCATGTCAATGTCAATACAAAAAGCAAAACCAATAAATGTGCACTTGGTATGTGACTGACTGTTTCGGTAACACAATAAAGTGCAGCACACTTGTACGCCCGAAGGCAGCAGCACGGTAAGAATAAGATATGTGTTCTCCAACATGGCGGTGATACGGCGGCGGTGGAAAAGACGTCCTTGCACTTATGAGAGCAGCTGAGTGAAGTGCTGTAAGTTCTTTTCTTCTCGTCTCTTCCCCTGCGTCCGCCCGCTCTCACAACACCGAGGTAATCTCATCTTGGATCTGAGAGATCAGGATCTGGGACAGCACAATGCCTGCAATCTAGAGGACAGCAGCAGCCACTTTAGATTACAGAACAGACTCTTGGTTACTGTACAGCCTGTGCCGAGCATCTCAAGGTCCCTCACAAGGGTGCTGTAATGCTCAGCTGGCACCGGAAGGAAACACTCCAAATTTAGATAAGACTGTTTGGAGTGCGTCGCTTGAAATAATTCTATACTTTGCAAGGTGACAGCGCTTCCTATGCGTTGCTTCTCGCAGCGAGAACACGCGTTGTGCGGTAAACACGGCTTTTATTGCAGCTTTTCAATAATTAACGGTTTGAGTTAAACGCGGCTCGTTATGCAGACAAACTCAATAATGGTGTGTTGCGAGGAAATGCAGGAATGAAAAGAGAACTTGGTCGTCGGATTTGCAGCACATCAAAGCAACCAGAATACTAATGCAATTGTTTTGACAGGACTCATGAGGAATTCACATGCTTCCCCTCCCAGCAGGATCACAGGGGACCCAATCAGACAGCCGAGAACCAGAGATCGGGCCAGAGATCCGGTGGCGAAGCTGCATGCTGAGCGAGAATGTGGCGTGATAGCATCTGAATCATTCTGATAAGTGAGACGACTAATTATTTAGAGGCTGATGCTGATAAGTGCTCATTTGATTTCATGGTCAATCTAACATGTTGACTTATGAACGCCTCTAAACGCCGTGAGCTCGGAGGTAGCAGCGATCCTCCTCCCTCAGACGTGCCAGGCTACGTTATCACATGCACACTTCCACCTCTGTTGCACATTAACGTGCACCTTCGATCCAGAGATAGCGTCATAAATGAGTTATGCGTAGTTAAAATTTCATCGTCCCTTTGTGCCTACTTATTGCTGTCGAGGTATAATCACACATTTTAAATCACTTCTATCCCAGTGGCCTCACATTAAACACAGCTCTTATCGGTTTCCTTTACAATTCACTTTTTCTTTCTTTGTTCTTTTTTCTTCTTTTGTACGAAGACGAGGCTGTTTTATGTGAGACAACCTGAACCCGAACAGGGACGCTGTTAGAAGCTCTCAGATTGCTGTTTTTTCTTTTCTTGTCTTTTTCTTTTTGGGTTGCTTCACCAACAATACGAGCTGCTGATTGATGAAGTGTTGCTCAGACTATTCGGCGGACCTGTCCAAATGCTCCATGCGAGGCTGCCTTTGAGGGAGCAGGTCTAGTCAATATGTTGATTGCTTCACACTCAATCCAGCCTCAGTTGATGCCTATATTGACTTCTGTGGGTTTGTGTGTGTGTGTGTGTGTGTGTGTGTGTGTGTGTGTGTGAACTTATTTAAGATGAAACTGGAGTCGTCTTGGCCCAGAATTATCCGAGGTTAGCGATGGCAAGCGACAGCTGCCAATTAGTGCTCAACCTGCATCGACTGAGTGCGCGTGCAGGGTTACCTGAGGCAGGGCCAGACCCAGGGCCAGCGCCCCCACCAGCAGCAGATGAGACTCGATCCACATCACGGCTCTGTCTGCACAGCCCACCGGGTAGATGGACTTGTTTGCCTCCAGGTAGTTTTGGGTTTGAACCCCAAAACCACACATGGTGTTGATCACTACCTGTGTGCCAGATGGACAGAGAGAGTTTTAGAGATGACCCTGAAACACTATAATCACTTCTCAGAGGATGCTTTCACTCCTTTGAATTAACATCTAGTGTTGTGACACCTGAGGGAGAGCTGAGCAGGCGTCTGTGAAGAGGAGAGAAAATGGCAGGAGAGCGATACAACCACACCCACTGGATGTCTCCAGGACGAATGCTGTGTCCTTGGAGGAGCCATGCAGCTGCACCATGCAGTTACAGGATACGACCAGCAGGTTGCAGCACTGCATTGGCTCTCGTATGGTTTAATTAATTGATTTTTTTCCCCAGCCATGTAGAAAAAGCTTGCTGTGATCTGTATTCCATGTAGCTTGATGTTTAATCAATATCAGTGTGATAGATCTACATGAACTCTTTAGTTTGTTCTGTCAGCGGCGGTTTGCGGCTCTGCTGCTGCGTCTGCACCGTGATTAGACAGGCATTTTGCTTCTGTCTTTGTGTCAGTGCAAGTGTGTGTGTTCATGCGTTCACAAGTACAGTATTTAGGGTCCGAGCACCCAAAAGGGTGCGAAGACCCTGTTGGAACTGCTCGGATTATTATTATTATTCGTGCCAAAGACAC